TAGACCTTTCTTTTGGGGCATTTACACCAACCGGGTTGGGTCCGGAAGTGATTACCGGCCCAACCCCCTTTTTTTATTATTTATTTTGTTTGTGTTTTATTTATTTTACTTTTATTATTATAATTATTTTTATTTGTTTTCTAAATAACATAAAAATTCATTTTTTAAAAAAAATAATAAAAACATAAAAAAATTAGATTAAAACTAAAACAATTTTCAAAATAAAAATTAAGTTTTTAAAAACTAACATTATTTCTCTTTTTTTCTATATATAAATTAAATTAAGATCTTTTTCAAAATAGTAAAATCCCAAAATTTGCATCTTTTTCTTCACTGTCTTCGTAATTCACCCGATGGCTGTCTGACTTTGCCTACTAACGCGTGTGTTTCATTTTTGCAGCTTATGTTTACCGTTATTCCGTTGTGTTTTTATTTAAGTTTCATCATTATTGTAACTGTTTCTCGGTTGTAGCCTCGCGAACCAACAATCGCATTTACTTTTCCGCATTTAAATTTCTGCTGATGTATGATTTAACTTCTCCCATGTTTCACTCGTTTCTGCCACACTACACACATCCGAAGGTTAGGTCTAACTGTTTGGTCGCCGCGCCAATAGTCCTCAACTTCAAACCCTTACAACTCTTACAAACCCTAATTTTCACAAATGCCTCGCCGCAGGCTAAATTACAACTTTACCCCTAGCATTAGGTCAAGGAGCCGCCGCGCTCATTTTAGGGTTTCCCGCCGTGGAATCCCTAATTTAACCCTAATTACAACTTAACATTTCAACGTAGAAATTTGGAGTTCCTACACTCCGCGTAAGCGTGTCCTTAAGATACGTTTATTCCCCTTGAGACCTTGACCACAGTCAAGAAGTCTCTAACCTCCCTTCTGAGGGGAACTACGATTACTCTGATTCCACTCCCGTAAGGATACGTAGGCACAAGATGCGATGTCTTGCCGAGTAAACTTAGAATTAACCCCTAGGTCTTTTTTAACTTTTAATCCTTTGTACATATACCTTAAGCAAATAAATAAAGCAAATAGTAAGCATTGAACAAAAGGTTCCTGTAGAGTACTACAGAAGTTTAGGGTGTTAATACCTTCCCTAAATTTAACCAACCCCCGAACCCTAGATCTTTCCCCGCATTGTGTTTACGATGCAAAATAGGTTTTTCCTTTTTGACCTTTTCCTTCGGATAAATCAAAGAGCGGTTGTGAATTGAATTGCGATTCAAACTCATTAATAGTTTGTAATCCTATTTCCACCGCAACAGATACCATTCCTTAGCTTTCCCGATTAGGGAATGTGGAACTATTCTCTTAAACAAGGATTCCTCTTCAGCTTCAGGCGCTCCCGTTGCACCCGCAATTTCATAGAATTTGGTGAGATGTGTGAACGGATCCTCGTGGTCTATACCGGTAAAAGGATTTTGGTGTGCAAGAATTCCCGTTTTCATCTCTGAATGTCGCTCGTTGTTGATGTTTCGTGAAAATTGAGAATTATGCCTTGCATTATTGGTACATGGAGTTGAAGTAGGAGGTGGTGGTGGAGGTGGGTTTTCCATGTTTGGTGTTAGTGTAACAATTGGTGTTGATGAAGAAGATTCTCTTTGCTCTCTTCTTTCTAAAGCACGTTGATGTCTCCGTCTAGTGATGCTATTGAGTCTATGAGCAGTTCTTTCAATCTCTAGATCAAAAATAAGTTCTTCTGCATGCACCCTCCCTTGCATAACTAGATTCTAAACTCTAGCCAAACAAATTAAAAAGCACAAGATAATTACAAAGGTAAGAGTTTACAATACAAATATCTTAAAATCACTAAACTATTGTAATGCTTGCAATATCAATATCAACAATCCCCGACAACGGCGTCATTTTGTTGTAAAGTATTTTAGGTGGGTTATTTTATCATATCCGCAAGGATTGTTAAGATATCTAGATGCTTGTCGTTCAACAGTTTAGGGTTCCAAAAAAAAGGGGGGTTTCACGAAGTTCTTATTTTGTAACATAAGTTTGGTGGCAAAGATGTAGAATAGAGAAAGATGTTTAATTCTTACGAAAAGTATGTCAAGATTAGATTTCGTTAACCCTTTTCATACATATCTGATTAATCAAGCATGTGAACGGAGTTTCGATCAATAAAATCGTGTATCCTCGCGAATTCGTTTATCTCTAAAGTGGCTCTGTGGGTTTTATTGGTTTTAATCGCTAGATGATTTCTTGAAATAGCAATCCCGACAATAAACATAAAGATCAATACAAGGAAAATATTCGCTTGCAAATCTATGTCTAACGTTTGTTTGTTAATAGATGAAGAAATTAGATCAAGACTTGGAAAATCTATGTCTAGAGATGATTCAAATCGTAAATGCAACATTAAAAGGAAAGATCTTCATCATATATTGATTATCAATCTTGTTCACATACAAAAGATCAAAAGAAATACATAATAGTAAGGTTAACAACCTCTAATCTTGACACAAAAGTGTTTAGCTACCCATCACCATGGTAGCTTGATCAACAAGTAAAAAGAAAATCTTTGCTAGCATCAAAGTCGAAGAATTGAAGATTGATGCTTCAGAGATTTGATTCTCACTTCTTCTTGAGTTTCTAAGCTTTTTGACATAAAAACCCTTTCTAATCTCCAAAATGCTGAAAATGTAAAAGTTCTCCAAAATATCTTCTAAGGTAGATATTTATACAAAGTGGAAAAAGTAGCAGTAAGTGGCACCGCGCTAAGCGCCATCAGGAGCGCGCTAAGCGCGGTCAGCAAAACAGAGGCTAAAACCTAGAATGTGCACTAAGCGTGGCTGGAGACAGCTTAGCACGATTGAAGGCCTTAGCTAATGCCTCAGTAATGAAATCACGTTGGGACCACGCTGAAAAGTGTGCTAAGCACGGTTTACCGACATGGTCGCCTCGAAAATGATCTTTTAGGCCTTCTTTCCATCACCATAGGTTCCTATCATCATATATCAGCAGGAAGACCTGTCAAAAAGCATCAAAATAATTATAATTCAAAATATTTACAATAAAGTCAGAAACTTACATATTTACACTAAAACTAATAGGTTTACTACTAAACTATCTAGGAAATCATTGGAAAGGGCCACAAAATAACATCAAATGTATGCACAAATTGGCCCTTAACAAGTACCTCAAATACCTATAGAAATAGGTCCATCAGTAGCGGTTTTGAAGCCAATGAAGAAGTCCATGAAGAAGACAAGGAAGAAGAGGCTCAACAAGATATTTTACCATTCTATTATCCCAGAAGTGGGAGAGGAGGACATAGATGATGATGAGCTAGATATAGACTATGGGAACAACTTCTCTTACAAGGTAATGGATGACTTAGATAGAGATTTATTCTAAATACAATCCAGTTCCTTATGTTTTTGTAATCCTCTATGCTTGATTAATTAAAAGTTATTTTGACCAGTAAATATAATGCAATCGTACAGCTACTTTATTTGCCTTAAGATTTTATGATATATACATTAATGAAGTAATGAACAAAACAAACATTTTAACATGTTAACAATAAAATTTATAGTTGTTAAAAGAATCTTGATAGGTAAGAATAATAGACATCATTTCCAAGAGTGAGTATTTAAAATTGATTTAACTTAATCAATAATAAAATAGTGAATACTCAAGGTAATGAATGTAAAGACTCTATAAAAACTCCTTAGCAGGCTCACTTTCATAATCACTTAATCTTACGAACACAAAAATGTATAAGCAAAAGAAAATTTGGGTTCCAAAGAGAGATTTTAGAAAGATAGCCATGCTTAATGCAGAAACTCAAGCAAACAAGAGTGATGCAGCAACTAAAGGATCTACAAGTAAACAGATGGCTTCAGAAGCACACACTTCTTCAACAACCTTCATTGAGACAAACATAAGAAGAACTTCCAGGTCAAAACGCAGAAATCAACTGAGAAAGGAAGCTGTAGTGTTTGCAAAGGAAGAATGGCAAGATTATTGAGATAATCTAGATATGTCATATGATCCTAGGGAATCTTAGGGAAAATCTGAATGCCTAGAAAGTCTTAACAATTTGTAATAGCTTCCAGTTAATGAGAATACTACATATTTAGAGTTTTTAATCCTATTTATTTTATCTTCTCTTTTTTTAAATCAAAAGATATATATTAATCGAAAAAACAATACAAACCAGATGATCCCAAGGATCCAACCGACAAACACGATTAATTACATCATCAACTTAATTATATGCTTTCTAAGTTTCCTATGTTGCCAACCTCTATACATCACAATATATATGATGTGTGTACTTATACTATTACGATTCACATCATTTCCAAAAACAACATCTTTTCTATAGCTCCAAATACAATAAATCGTTTCCGCCACTATCATCTTCATAACAACAACTCTCCACCCCTTTCCTTTAGATATTCCAAATTTCCTTAGTTCTACTGCAGCAGAAGAAAATGTGGTTGATGGTCTCTTCCTCTATATTACATAAGTTGCAAATACTCTCTTGTGCCATCCCAAATCAATTTAACTTATCTTTTGTTGCAAGGTTGCCATGAAAAGTGAGCCATAGATAGAAAATCGCTCAAGGTCTAGCTTGGTTGTCCAGCCTAAGATTCATCTACATCACTTCCTCATTATCTTCATTCAGAGCTGCATAAAAGGCTTAGCTTTGAATTTCTGATGCAACAATGCTCTATCCCAATCTTGCTGCACATTACTCAAAATATCGCGCTTGCTTATGATGCTTTTGAAGACCCAAGATGATGCACCTTGACCTCATACTCCATAATATCAGAATCCCTTAAGTAGTATTGGTGCGCCCATTTAACCTACGTGTTATCAGCTTTTCTGTACACATTCCACAAGTATTTCAGCATTAAGACCTTGTTCCAGACATTCAAATTCAGTATCTGCAACCCACTTTGGCTCTTATCCTTACACATTTTCTTCCATGCAACAGGACTCTTTCTATTGATGTTCTTCTTGCCATTCTAAATAAAACTCCTATGAATCACATCAATCTTCTTGATCATCACTTTAGGGATGGGGAAGCACTGCAACCAGTACTGAGCAATAGAATTAGTAACACTTTTCACCAATTCGACTCTACCTGCATAGCTAAACAGCTTGGAAGACCAATGATGAATTCTCCTAACAATTCTCTCAACCAAGGGCATATAGTGATTGATGTTTAGCTTTTTACTTGACAAAGGAACACCAAGATACGTGATGGGCAAAGAGCCCTCTTGAAAACCTATCAAGACCCTGATATCATCCTTACTGCTCTCATCCAACCCGCCAAAAAATATTTTACATTTGCCTTGATTAACCACCAGACCTGTAGAAGCAAAAAAGCTATTGAAATCTCTCATCATAAATTCCACAAAAATAGGATCACCTCTACAAAATAATAGCACATCATCTACAAATGTGAGGTTTCTGAGATTCAAACTTTCACATTTGGCATGATGATTAAAATTGGGATTGTTCTGCAACTTACTCAAGGACCTATGCATATTCTCCATAAGAATAACAAAGAGCAGTGGAGAGATGGGATCCCCCTGTCTTATACCTCTCTTAGCTTGTAAATAATCTAAGTACTGACCATTGAGATTGAACCTGTAAGAAACAGTAGTGACCCCAGCCATTAGCCACTTGATGAATTGACAGGGAATCCCAATATCCTTCACAATACATTCCAAGGCTTACCAATTGACCATGTCATATGGCTTTTGCAAGTCTATTTGTATCATTGTCCTAGGAGTACCCCATTTCCTATTATAGTCTTTGAGTAACTCATAAGCTAGCATGATGTGATTATGAATATTCTGGTCTGGAACAAATGCTGCCTAGAAAGGGCTATTAACACTTTGAAGGACCCCTCTCAGCCTATCAGTCAAAATTCTAGCAATAATCTTGTAAAACGTAATACATCCAACTATAGGCCTATAATCCTTTATCTGACTATCATTCTCACTTTTAGGAATCAAGGTAATGACAATATTATTAAAAGCTTTGTAGATGGTACCTGTGTCAAAGAACTCTTTCACTGCAGCAACAACATAATTTTTTAAAACTGACCAGTTGGCTTTATAGAATTTAGCTCCATAGCCATCAATTCCCGGTGCTTTCAAATCACCCATACCATTCATAGATTTTATGATCTCCTGCTCAAATACACACCTTATCAGATTTTCTCTTTGCTCCATGTTCAACTGATTTCCCATTCTCATAGCCTCTATATCTATATAATTGATGTTGTTATCCTGCTTCTCCATCAACTGATTATAGAAATCCAACACTTCTTTTTCGATCTCATGGTGAGTTTGTATAGTTGATCCGCCAGGTTTTTTAAGATGGTTCAGCCTTTTTGCATTTTGCTTGGCTTTTATGGAGGCATGGAAAAAGGCATTATTTCCATACCCATCCTAAGCCAATCTATTTTTTCCCCTGCCTAAGGATCTTCTCCTCAATCTCATTGAGGGAGATAACTTCCTCAGTGTGCCTCTTCACCACTTCAATGATTTGACTATTTAATTTATCACCTATTAATGCATTCTGAGCCAGGTTAAGCTTAACTCTAACTTCCATCAGCTTCTGCTTCACATTGGATAAAGACCTACTGAATCTTCTCAAAATTGGTTGCAATATCTTAAGCTTAACTCAGAGCACATACATAAGCCTGCCTCTGATGGGTTGGTTCCAGCTATTCTTCACAACATCCATAAAACCAGACATATCCACCAGAAAGTTACTGAACCTGAAATGTCTATTTACTTTTCTTTTCTCATTCTTGTTAGCTACACAAAGTGAAGCATGATCAAAAATGTTGAGGGGCATAATATTCAAAGTGGGCTCCAAATTATCTTGAAACCACTCAGTGTTACCCAGCATAGTATCTATCCTACAATAGATGGTTCCCATTCATGCTTATTGAACCATGTAAAATAATCAATAATATTTTCCATCTCACTTAGACCAGTATTAGCCATCATATTCTGAACATCCTCATATTCCTTTTCAGTTACCATACTTCCTCCAATACAATCTTGTGCCTTGGCCACATTATTAAAGTATCCCAACACACACCAAGTTCCTTGTAACTTGCCATGGAGATGCTCAAGCTTCTTCCACAAAATCCTCCTCTTACTCAACTGGTTATGAGCATAAACAGCAGTCAACTAATGTTTAAACACACTAGTTGCATCATAAATACCATAATGGATGTGATGGCTATAACTCTACATAAATTGCGTATCAACTCTGTTGATATCCCCCATATCCATATCCTACCATTCTAATGGTCTTTGTAGTTATCAATGAAATTATCAGTCAAATGCAGTTTATTCCTTATGGCATTAGATTTACTCTTTTTAAATCTAGTCTTTATGAAAATGACAATTGTAGGCTTAAGTTCTAGAAGATGGGAGTTAATCTCCCTGAGCTTACCTACTTTTTTGATCCCCCTAATGTTCCATGACATATTTGTTTTTTGTTTTATCCTCTTGAGCAACAATATAAATGAATATTTATAATAGTTAAGATGCACAAAAGCATGAACAACCTTGGATTATCTATCATACCCCAAATTTGTCCCACCTGTGTATAGATTTCATTTTGTACATTCGTCCAACTGACTATTATTCAAAAAAATCCCAAAAAAATATATTGTTTTTACTTGTGATCTAGACACAGGAGATTGCAAGGTTGAACTGCATAAAATTAGGGTGCATTTAAGGATTCATTCTGAAGGTGTGTATGCAATGATATTTTCAATATGGTCAGGAAAAAGTTTACTTCAAGATCAAGGATAAGGTGCGTATAATTCAAGTGATTTGTGTTTGAATTTCCAGTTAAGGTCTTGTGACAATTCTAGTTGTCCATATGGAGGTTAAGTTATCAGATTACATCCAGTGATCAATGTTTCATGGTTGAGGATCACCAAAAGTCGGGGCATTTAGGCCATATCACAAGTCATTTGCAAGTCTTGATTAGGTGTCAAAGGAGAATTCTAACTTGCTATTTGTTTTAACATCGCTTCAAGACGAAATCATAATGCGGTGTTATGTCTCAAAGAATTGGTTCAGAATTCCAACATATTCTTGGCTTGATTCTAATAAAGAGTTCAAAATGCTGAAGAAAAAAAGTTTCAAGGAAAGATGATTGTTTCAAGGCTTGACGTTGTAGTTGATCGAGTTGCTTGTTTTAGTCAGGATCAAATTCATAGCAAGAGTTCATTTCAAGATCTAGTCCGAGTGCAACATATTTCAAATCAAGACTCCCTTTGGTTCATGTTCTCAAGGCATATTATGTAGAGTTTGGATTTAATCGGTGTTGGCTATCATTATTCATCAATATTAAGCCCGAATTCAAGGAAATCAATCAAGAAGCCCATTTACACCAAATACCATAAAGATATATCACAAACTCATAAGTCTGTTACACTTCAAGTTTACAAGCCCATTGTTTTTTTTTTGCAAGCCTGTATCACAATAAAAACAAAAAATTCCTACAAAGAGCCCATGTCATGAATAATTCATTTTTCTGTAGTTCATATCTCAAGCTACTTTTATACAAATAAATGTCAAAGATTTCTACAAAAAAGGGCTTCTTAAAAAACACCCATATCCCACCAAAACAACCATAATTGCAAAAATAAGAAAATAAGTATCTTACACACACAAAATATACAAAAAAATGGAAATCCAAGCTGATGTTTTTCAAAAAAAAAGTATCTTACACACACAAAATATAACTTGCAAGGCCAATATAATGAAAAGATGATCGGTAGTGTTTCTGTTAGATTCTCTGACTTGGTGATTGTCGGTGAGAGAGTTGAAGAAGGATTGAAGAATGGAAAGATCCAAGGAGGTTCTAGCAGCCAGGTCGGTGCCAAGAATCCTTTCAATGGATACAAGAAGAAAGAGGGTGAAACAAATGTCGTCTCAGTGTAGAAAGGGCAAGCTCCTCAACAAGCTCTCACTCCTATGCCCTATCAAATCCCTTACTACCCGTATACGTATGCTGTTGTGTATTATGCTTCAATGCCTTATTCGCCATCTGTTCAAGCTGTTCAAGCTCAAATGCCATAGCAACAGGCTCTTCAATAACAATCTTACAATCAGCAAGGGTATCAGTATCCTTCTCAACATCAACAACAACAAGTTGCTCGACAACAGGGTCAGCCTAATCAGCAGAGGACATGAAAGCCCGATAGAGCTTTTGATCGTTTACCAATGCCATACGCTAATATCTTTGCTTAGTTGCTGGAGAAAAAGGACATCGTTCCGAGAGATTTAGGTCCCCCAACTATCATTCTTGTCGACTATGATGCAAATGCCCATTGTGAGTTCCATAAAGGCGCTCCAGATCAAACCATTGAGAAGTGCAGGGCTTTCAAGCACAAAGTTCAGGACATGATCAACAGGAATGTTATCAACTTCAATGGGAAGACTCCAAACATCATCAACAATACTATGCCTCTGTCAAGCTAGTGCCAGCATCAGATCAAGTCAAATCAAGTCAAGTTAAGTTCAGCTTCTTGAAGAAGGCAGTCATGTTGCCATTTCATCTTTTGCTTTCTTATATTTTGTATTTGTCTGTTTAAGTATTGTATGCCTTGAACATTGCCATTCGTATTTGATTTTCATTAATGTATTGTTTATGCATGTTTTGAATTAGTTATGTCGTATTCACTCATTATTTTCACTTATCATAAATCACTGACACATTTATTAACTTCACACTCTATCAACTATTTTTTAGCATGTCTGGAGGGAGGATGATGACAACGAAATACCCATAATTGCAAATTGTATGCTTTCAGACAGAATCTCATCAATGATGTACAGGCATTGTTTCAATTCCCCAAACACTAGAGAGATAAGGAGATAATCCCTAGTTAACCACTTCGAGCCTAGAAGTAGCATTTTCCTTTGGATCTATTTAAATCCTTACACTCAACCTAGGGCAGGGTAGTGTTCAGTTAATCCAATTTCGCACTCGAATCACAAAGAGAAAAATACAAAGACATGATGGTTGTTTATCAAAGACCCATGACATGGCAGTCACTATCCTCCAACAAAAATCAAAAAATCAAAAGTTTGCTAAGTTAAGAACCTCAAAGAGGACTTAGACAAAAATCAAGGCAATCTCGATGGACTCGACAAGCAAAATCAGTCCATACAAAAGTTAGGGATCAAAAACAAAATCAAAAGAGGTCCTCAAACCCTCTACAAAGATAAAATAAGATTCAATGGCCACCCAAATCAAACCAAAAGGGTCACTGACATCCATCAAAATCAAAATAAGATGGCTGCCATCTCAAGCAAACCTTGAATCATCAAGCTTATGCCGTCAAGATAGACATGTGCAGAATTAACTAAACGTAGGAATGGAGATCATCGTGAAGAAGAGGTGGGTACAAATCAAACTTTGAGCCTAATATCCTTTGTTTCACCAACCATAAACCAGACCGCATTACAACCCTCGAAAGACCTAATTGAGGCGAGGTTTATTCTGAAAGCATAATATTGCAAGGTTACATAAACTAACTCCTCACATAATATGCTAATCATCAGCGTTTGTGTCATTATCCTTGTTGTATCTTTCACACACTAAGAAAAATCAACACAATGTCTGGACTAAC